CCAAGTAGCGATTGAGTTACGAATTTTAAGTTCAATGGCAGAAACTGGAATTTTCAGAAAACAGCAACACTATGTTTACTTAAAGTGACAAATAAAATTTTACCAATATCGGATTGACATGATTCTAAGTTTATTCAATAGCTAACTTATGAGGCTATCAAACACCATTAGCTTTGTTCAAAAATTCGAAATAACAAATTAGTTATGAATTTTTAAAATCTGAGCTGAAATTGAAATTTCTAAGAAAACAGTAACATTAACTAGTTGACATTTTTTTTAAAACGGTGTTTCGTAAGTAAATTCTAGATCACATATATATTTTTAAACATAACATATTCATAAGAAAATGTTCGTAGAAATAGTTTCATATACGATGTCCATAGAAAGTAATTAATAGGAAACGCAAATATTTCTTAATCAATTTAAAGTTGTTAATTCACCGGCTTTTCCATGTCAAATTGTATCTTCAACCACCATCATCCACGCCCCCAACAAAAGAACAAAATCAACCGTCGCACATAGATGGATTTTCGGCAAAATTCGATATTTATATCATTATCATAACACGTAAAGTTGGAGAATGATCATTCAAACTATAGTAGTGCCGAAGCACCTACCTGGAGGTACCATTTCATTCAACTTTTAATGAAAAATCAAATTTGAAAACGAAATAACACATGCACCTCAACCTACCTTGAATTTTCTTGGATATCAAAGAACAAATATATAGAAAACCTTTCTTCTTCTCATCCTTGTATTTCCCTTAGATTAAATTGACATAAAATATATTTTTTGAGAGAAAATAAGATGAAATTCGGATTTAAGGAAGGATGTAGTGAAAAAGTGACTTTCCACTTCTTGTAACCTTTCTTTTTAATGAAAAACAAAATGGGGGGAGTTGTATTATCATAAAGTTTGTTAAATTTGGATCTTTAACTAAGAATTTGAAAAATTTTTAAGCCTAAAAAAAATTCATAAAAAAGTTTTATAAAAACATCTACATGGTGATTCGAACCTGGGTTACTTATATGAAATATCATGTAGATGACCATTGGTGCAACCCAGTTATTCAATAAATCTTTGTAATCAAATTTACTTAAACTTAATCTCTTAAATTGTTGGGCTTTTAATTAATTTATGGTTTGGGCTTTCAAAATCTTAAATGGTTTAAGTTTCCACAACTCGTTTCTTGAATGAGATAAGCTCGTGGTGCTAGATCATCACAACATAAAAGCCAAGTTTCATTTTATTTCTCGGACTTCTACATCCTTTACATCTTAAACAAAATTTCGTCCTCGAAATTTACCTTATGGATTGGTAAAGAGTGTGGGATATTTGTCTTTAACTTCTTCTCCTTCTTCCCAAGTAGATTCTTCGACTCCATGATTATTTCATTGCACCTTGACCAGTTGAATCTCCTTGTTCCGTAATTTATGTACCCTTCGATCCAGTATTCTAATTGGTAATTCCTCATAAGATAATCTTTACGGACATCTAGGGATTGATAATTGACCACGTGATCAGAATATGTATATACTTCTTGATCATCGATATGTGAAATACGTTGTGAACTGCTGATAGTTCGGGCGACAAAGCTAATTGATAAGTCACACTTCCGACCCTATCAAATATTTCAAAAGGTCCGATATAATGAGGTCGTAGCTTGTCTTTCTTGCCAAACCTAAGTACACCCTTTATTGGTGCCACTTTTAAACAAAACTTTATCTCCAACTTGAAACTCCAAGTCCTTTCGTCTGATATCTGGATAGCTCTTTTGTCTGTCTTGCGCTGCCTTTATCCTAGTGCGAATCTTTTCAATGGCTTCGACTGTCATTTCAATGATCTCTGGCCCCAAAACTCTCTTTTCTCTGACTTCATCTCAATGAATAGTTGATCTATATCTTCTACTATAGAGAGCTTCATACGGTGTCATTTCAATAGTTGCTTGGAAATTGTTATTATATGCAAATTCCACCAAAGGTAAATACGATTCCCAATTGCCTCATAGATCCAAAACACAAGCTCTTAACATATCTTCCAAAGTCTGAATGGTTCTTTCAGATTGACCATCGGATTGAGGGTGATATGCCGTACTGAAATTCAATTTTGTTCACATAGTCACTTGCAAGGTCTTCCAAAACTTAGATGTAAATCTCGGATCTCTGTCAGACACAATGGATACGAGGGTACCATGCAATCTTACGATCTCTTTAATATACAACCATGCCAACTGATCTAGACTGAATGCCATTTTCACTGGAAGAAAATGAGCGAACTTCGTTAGACGGTCCACTATTACCCATATAGCATTGTACCCTCATGCTGATCTCGAAAATCCTACCACAAAGTCCATTGCGATATTCTCTCACTTCCATTCTGGTATATCCAATGGATTTAACAACCCTGCCAGTCTTTGATGTTCTACTTTAACTTGCTGACACACGATGCATTTTGCCACAAATAGACCTATACTTCTTTTCATATTTCTCCATCAAAATGTATCTCGAAGGTCTCGATACATTTTCGTACCACCAGGATGTGCGGTGTATGAGGTAGAATGAGCTTTCTCCAATATCTCCTTCCCCAAAACTTCATCCTTAGGTACACAAATTCTTCCTTTGAACATTACTGCTAATCAAAAGTTATTTCGAAATCCTTTCTCTTGTCAGTACAAATCTTGTTCTTGATCTTTTACAAAAATATATCTTTATACTGTGCTTCTATGATCTGATCTCTAAGAGTGGGTCAAACAATCAAAGTTGCTAAATAAGCAGTGACTTGTTCTGGTGTGGTAGTCATTTCGATTCGCAAATTTTTCAAATCTTTGATCAACTCCATCGGAATAGTAGGTAATGATGCGAACTGCCCCATCGACTTTCTGCTTAGAGCATCAACAACAACATTAGTCTTACCAGGATGGTAATGAATAGTACAATAATAATCATTTACTAGCTCCAACCATCGTCTCTGTCTCATATTCAATTCCTTCTGTGTAAAGAAATATTTGAGACTCTTATAATCCGTGTAAATATCACACTTTCCTCCATATAAGTAATGGCGCTATATCTTTAATGCATGAACCACCGCTACAAGTTCTAGATCATGCATCGGGTAGTTCTGCTCATGTTGCTTCAATTGTCTTGATGCATATACAATTACTTTTCCATGCTGCATCAGTACACATCCCAAACCTTGTTTGGATGCATCACTATATATAACAAAACCTTCTTAACCTTCAGGTATGGTTAATACATGTGCTGTAATCAATCGTTGTTTTAGCTCCTGAAAGTTTTGCTCACACTTATCTGGTCATTGAAATTTTACTCATTTCCTTGTCAATTGTGTCATTGGTCCAACTATTTTGGAGAATCCTTCCTTAAATCTCTGAAATATCCAGCCCATCCCAGAAAACTTTGAACTTCACCAACATTAGTCGATTTTTTCCAATTAGTGACCGCTTCTACCTTTACCGGATCTATTTCAATTCCTTGGACAATAACTACATGACCAAGGAATCCAACTTGTTCAAACCAAAATTCGCACTTTTTAAATTTTGCATATAACTTTTCCTTACGTAATGTTTCTAACGCTATTCTAAGATGCTCTTCATGTTGATTTTTACTCTTGGAGTATATCAACATGTCATTAATGAAGACTATGTTAAATTGATCCAAATACTGATGAAATACACGATTCATTAAATCCATGAACATTGCCGGAGCATTTGTCAACCCGAATGGCATAACTGTGAACCCGTAATATCCATAACGAGTTTGAAAAGCTGTCTTGGGTATATCATTTGCCTTAACCTTCAACTGATGGTATCCAAATCGTAAGTCGATCTTGGAAAATACCTTAGCCCTTTTCAATTGGTTAAATAAATCCTCGATTCTCGGGAGATGATATTTATTCTTGATGGTCAAACAGTTCAACTCCCGATAGTCAATACACATCCTCATACTTCCATCTTTCTTCTTTATGAACAATACTAGTTCGCCCCAAGGAGACACACTTGGTCGAATAAAGCCACAATCCAACAATTCTTGTAATTGAAATTTTAACTCCTGAAGTTCCTTTGGAGCCATTCTGTATGGAGCTTTAGATACTGGTGCCGCTCCGAGAACCAGATCTATTGTGAACTCCACCTGTCTATCTGGTGGAGTACCAGGTAGTTCTTCTGAAAACACATCTATAAACTCTCGTACCACTAGTACGTTCTCAATCTTTATTGTCGTCTGTTTTTCTCCTGAGATGTTAATTAGAAACCCTTGGTACGTTTATTTTCTCATCATTTTATCAGCTTGCAAGGCCGATACTAGTTGGAGATGGGGTTTGATCTTTATTCCGAGGAAAGAGAATTGCTCTTTTCCTGGTTTCTGAAAAGACACTTTCCTCTCTTTATAATGAATGGTTGCATAATTAGATCCCAACCAATCCATGCCCAAAATCACATCGAAGTTTTACATCTCTATCAGATACAAATTAGATTCTAATGTTTTTCCTTTGATTTCAAGATTTACCGACCTAACTAACTGATCTGTATTTAATGTTCTACCTGAGGAGATGCTAACTTCTAGTGTACTTTCTGACTTCTCACAAGTAATACTAGATTTAGCAATGAAAGACGTTGATATAAAAGAATGAGTAGCTCTCGAATCAAACAGTACATAAGCAGGTGTATTGAATATCAGTAAAATACCTATTATTACGTTGGAGTTTTCCTCTGCATCTTTCTAAGTCAGTGTAAAGACTCGTGCTTTTCCCTTTTTGTTCTGATCACTGTTATCATCCTTCTTTTGAGTGAACATAGGACAATCCTTAGCAATATGTCCTGGCTTACCGCACCGAAAACAGGCATTCTTCCTATACAAGCATTCACCACGATGAGGTTTACCACACTTCAGACAAGGCGCAACTGTAGCTACTATGACCTTGCTAGCACTAGATCCGATGTTAACCTTCTTATTTTGCCATTTGCCCTTTCCTTTGTCTTGACCATTTCACTTCCTCTTTCCAATATGCCCTCTATCTTGCTGGTCGTACAATTGATGGTGTTGCTCCGCATTAGCCTTTTGATACCAAATAGCGTGAGCTCGTTCCAACATCTCACGATATGATGTGAAACGATGTGACATAAGGATCATGCTTATGTCTGGGTTTAACCCTTGCTCGAACCTTCTAGTCTTCTTAATTTCCGTGTCAACTAGGTGTGGAGCATATCTTGAGAGTTGATCGAACTTTCGTTCGTAATCCATCAGGGACATATTACCCTGTTTGAGCTGAAGGAATTCACTTTCCTTAAAATCTCTTAGAGACTGAGGAAAATACTTGTCCATTAGTTCCTTTTTAAATTGTTCCCATGTTAACGCCAATTGCTGCTTCGGGGTTCTAGTTCGAGACATTGAATCCCACCAGTAACTTGCATCACCAATAAACATAAACTCTGCAAGTGAACCTTTTGGGCGTCAGTGCAGTTTATGAGTCGAAAAATTCGTTCTAGCTTACGAAGTCATTCCTCAACTACTAGTGGACCAGATACTCCATCGAAGGTAGGGGGCTTATGCCTTCAAAATAACTCAACCACCGAGGTATGAGTCGTGAGAGTAATAGGAGCTAACAGTGTAGGTGGAGCTAGGTTCTGATTCAGCCTGCCAAGATCTTGAACCGCTTGTAGGAGATCTCTTATCAAATTGTTCTGGTTTGCATGAGATATTTCCCTAGAAATAAGACATAATATCTCACATTAACTTCTTTTTCCAAAAATAGGATTAAAATAGGAAAATATTTTCTGCTCGAACCATAGTTGATTTTTTTTTTTTTGTATTATTAAAAGTACTCATTGAAATCAGGACATACAATAGTTTGACGACATTTGCTTCCATAACATTAAGGAAAAGATAACACAAGGAAAATGAATCTAATTTCTAATCCCTATGAATCTTGCGAATCTTCTTTGGTAGAGCTTTATCTTCGGAGGAGTCTTCTGCCTCAGGCCCCAACTCTAGGTCCATCTCAACCTGTGGCTCATGCTCATTCTCTAATTCCAACCCAAAGTCATTCTCATGCTCCCATTTGGGATCTTCCTCTGGGTCCGATTCAAACTAAGGTTCAGGCTCAATTACTATCTCCGATTGAGGTTTTAAGCTTTCACTCCAACTGTTTAGAAAGATCTGACAATATGTACCGAATTCAATTGCATTTGGGTGCTCTGGAGGGTTACCTTCTAGTATCTCATCCCTAACCATGACTCCCATGTTTCTCCATTGACGTGGAAGTGAGTGTATGAGGTTATTTACAGCCTTGATATGCATGATCTCAGTCCTGCATCTACCGCCACCATACATCTCTCGGAAATGTCATGTATGTGTTCAGCAAGCGGACGAGATGGGTCAGTCACGTAGTTCTCATAGGATTGAATTATAGACCTACGGTTCAACGCTGCTCTACAAGCCGTGGCCTTTCTAGCGATCTGATAAATTCTAACAATGTCTGTCACATAAGTGTCCAATTATGTATCATCTCTGTTAGTGATATCAACATATATATTATGCTTTTGGGGTTTTCAATAAAATAGCTAATCGTCATTTCTTCATGCTCGAAAAATAAAGTGGAACATAATATTTTATTCCATACCTTGGGTTCGTCGGATGAGATTAATTGATGGATGCAAGATGCCATGGAATGCCTTAAATGCTTCACTTTCTCATCTTTTAAATTTTTTTTATCAAAAAAATATACTAAGTCTACAGAATGGACTAAACTCGTGCTCTGATACCACGCTATAAACGCCCCGACCCGCAAGGACCGAAACGTCGCTAGATTAATTGTACTTTTAGCCGTAAACTTAAAAAAATAGCTAAACTTTTAGAGGAAATTATAAAGATTTAATTTAAGAATATTTTTTTAAAAAGACATAATTGACAATATAACTCAATACAAAAAGAAACTAATTCATAATGTCTTCAGTTGACATCCATACATAAATACATTTTTGTTGCGTAAAATTTTAGGCAAAAATTTAAAAATAAATATTGTTGTTTGACTTCCCATTTTTACGCAATAAGTTTTAAAGTAAACTCGTTTGCATAGTAATCTAGGTCGAAACTTCATGAAAATTTAAGAGAAAGTAGAGAACTTCTCATAATATAACATATCCAAAATTTAGCTTTTGTCGGCGACATATGAGATGTTAAAATATTTTTCAAAATCTCGCAGCGACTCGATTTGAAAAGTAACCCAGCGCAGCATACTTAAGGTGGCATATAAAATTCTATAGATATTGGATTGACATGATTTTAAGTTTATTCAGTAGCTAATCCATGAGGCTATTAAATACCACTAGTTTTGTCCAAAAATCCCAAGTAACGATTGAGTTACGAATTTTTAAGTTCAATGGCAGAAACTGAAATTTTCAGAAAACAGCGACACTATGTTTACTTAAAGTGACATATAAAATTTTACCAACATCGGATTGACATGATTCTAAATTTATTCAGTAGCTAACTTATGAGACTATCAAACACCATTAGCTTTGTTCAAAAATTCGAAGTAACAAATTAGTTATGAATTTTTAAAATTTGAGCAGAAACTGAAATTTCTAAGAAAACAGTAACATTAAATAGTTGACATTTTTTTTTAAGACGGTGTTTCGTAAGTAAATTCTAGATCACATATATATATTTTTAAACATAACCTATTCATAAAAAAATGTTCGTAGAAATAGTTTCATATACGATATCCATGGAAAAGTAATTAAAAGGAAACGCAAATATTTCATAATCAATTTAAAGTTGTTAATTCACTTGCATTTCCATGTCAAATTGCATCTTCAACCACCATCATCCGCGCCCCCAACAAAAGAACAAAATCAACCGTCGCACGTAGATGGATTTCCGACAAAATTCGATATCTATAGCATTATCATAACACGTAGAGCCGGAGAATAATCATTCAAACTATAGTAGTGCCGAAGCATTGTACCCGGAGGACCATTTCATTCAACTTTTAACGAAAAATCAAATTTGAAAACGAAATAACACTTGCACCTCAACCTACCTTGAATTTTCTTGGATATCAAAGAACAAATGTGTAGAAAGCATTTCTTCTTTTCACCCTTGTATTTCCCTTAACTTAAATTGACATAAAATATATTTTTTTTGAGAGAAAATAAGATGAACTTCGGATTTAAGGAAGGATGTAGTGAAAAAGCGACATTCCACTTCTTGTAATCTTTATTTTTAATGAAAAACTAAATGGGGGGGGGGGTTGTATTATCATAAAATTTGTTAAATTTGATCTTTAACTAAGAATTTGAAGAGTTTTAAGCCTAAAAAAATTTATAAAAAAGTTTTATAAAAACATCTACATGGTGATTCGAACATGTGTTGCCTATATGAAATACCATGTAGATGACCATTGGGGCAACCCAGTTATTCATTAAATCTTTGTAATTAAATTTACTTAAACTTAATCTCTTAAATTATTGGGCTTTTAATTAATTTATGGCTTGGGCTTTCAAAATCTTAAATGGTTTGAGTTTTCACAACTCGTTTCTTGAATGAGATAGGCTCGTGGTGCTAAATCATCACAACATAATAGCCTAATTTCATTCTATTTCTTGGGCTTCTACAGTCCATGTCTATCTATTTGCACGAGTGCCCTAATTTATCGTGGTAGTTCAGATGGTCCGTATACCTGATATCGCCGATGATTCTAACCCTCTGCAGCAGGAGCATCTGTAACCTGGTTTTCCTCCCTGAAGATGTGGGAAACTGCATCTTTATCGAAGGAGGTGTTTTCTATAATCTTTCTGAGTATGTCCTGAATAGCCCATGGTCCTCCACCTTTGATGATACAATGAATGGCTACACTAGAGTCCGTCTCAACCCAAATGTCTGAAAATCCAAAGCTTTTGGCCAGTAATATCCCATCAAGAATAGCTCTGAGCTCTGTTTCCAGTATCATGCACTGTCCAAAAGATGTTGTTAACGCCTTTATGCATTTTCATACGTAGTCCCTGGTTATGCCTCCCCTACTTGCAAAGCTATCTTTGACGTATCCACCAGTGTTGATCTTGACAAATTTGACTAATGGAGTACGCCACCAAACCATAATGGGGAGAGGAGATAGAGGAAGGGTCATAATAATCCCAAAAAGTGGAGCAAGCTGTATATCACAGTGTCAATTTAGTGGTTGAAATAATCCTCCAATGTGAAGGAGCGAGATCATACGGTATACCCTCCTAATGATTCATCTTGATCTCATGCAAACATCTCTATGCTTTGCATCATTTCTTTCAGTCCATAAAAACCAGAAAACCAGAAGAGGAATAATGATGCGAATGTGCCCACTCCCAACAAACTGACCAGAATATCGCTATCTCAGAAATCTCTGTCTGACGCTTTCACCCGCAACCATAGAAATCTGAAATAAACTCCCAAAATGCTGCCAGACCTGATATGATATATCACTACCAGTAAAAATGTGATTGATGGTCTCAATCTTCGAACAACACTGACATCGAGAAGCCAATTGACTACCAATCCTTCTCTGAATAAAAATATCGACTGGTATCAAATCCTGCCATAATCTCCAACAGAAGAACGAGACTGTGGTAGGTATGATAGGGCTTCAAAGTAGGGAAAATGAATCCTGCGTTGGTTTGCTAGAACGGATCAAATGCTATGCTGATTTGGTGGTAAATCTACCATCTGATGTAGCCTTCCAAAGAATGCGGTCTAGGGCATCAACACATAATGGCATGTCCGCAATCTGGTCTGCCATAGATGGTGGAATAGCCTTTAATAATAGTTCAAAGTCCCATACGTCGTCATTGAAAAAACACTGTACCTTTGCAGATGTGTGTTGACTGTCAGGGAAGATGGACACCAAAGAAGTGTTTCCCATCCAACAATCATGCCAAAAGAAAATCTGACCTATCCCAAGGTGCCACGCAATATGTGGCTCGACACGTTGTCCAAATCTCTTCAATCTCTTCCATACAGGAGAGGCTGAATTAGGGACAGCTGCAAGTGACGGATGTGTCCCTCTAGAAATCTCGCAAATATACTCTCCAACTTTTTCAGTACAACCTTGGGAGTCGCAAAATTTGAAAAGGGTATAGTGGTATAGAGGAGAGAACTGATCTTAGCAAAGTGATCCTACCACCATGAGAAAGGATTTTTGAAGCCTATCCTGAAATCCTACTCTTAATCTTCATGATGAGGACATAAAAAAGAATCCTCCTCTTAGCCCTTTTAAACAAAGGAATTCCTAAGTATGTGAACGACAATTGTTGATGAGAAAATCCTGTTAAAATTACTAGTCTTTGTATTTGAATATTCGACGCCGACCTGGGCAATATAAGTACACTCTTATCTATATTCGCCAATTGGCCAAAGACCCGTTCGTAGTGCTCCAAACAGTCGATGACCCTTCC